CGTGTAACCGTCATCGGCCGCGCGTTCGCAGTGACTAAGCGGCGCAAAAAATCCCGCGTATTACGGGCGGCCGGTCTCTCCTCGCTCTGTGCCAGGGGGATATTCGCGATTACCGCGAGGGGAGAAGACCGACGAGGTGTTCGAACGCGTCGAGGGGAGGGGAGGGGAGAGGAGGGGGGGGACGTATTTGTCGTTAATCCCGGGGCTCTGTCGCGTCCGCGCGCACGCCTCCTTTCTGTGCCTCTTTCCCCAGTTCCGAATAGAAAAGAAAAAAAAAAAGAAAGGTACATTACATCATGCTGTACATTTCATTTTATTCCCCCTATATGTAAATAAATTAGAACCTTTCAAACACGGCGGAAAATTGAATTGAATTGCAAGTAAATTATAAATAGCACAATAGTTTTTTTTTTTTTTTTTTTTTAAATCAGTAATTTTATAGTTCAACTCAGTCAATTAATATTAATTGAGTTCAACGATAAAATTTCGAAACAAAAAAGAAACTTGTAATTTAATGATATAAATAAACTTGAATAAATAAATATAAATAACTTCTATAATAAATTAATAGTTACATTAATGAATAACATTTTCCTGTGATTTAATTCAATTTTACATTTTATTACATATTGTTAATTAATTAATAGCAAGAAAATATTTAGAAAGAACTCGAGCCTGGTCAAAATGTTCTAAAATATCCATTTGATGTTTCAAAATTCAAAATATTTAGAATATTGAATATCCTAAAATTAAAAAAAAAAAAACAAGAATATCCTGAACAAAGTAAATATTCTAAAAGGAACATTATTAGAATAATATCCTAATAAACTAAATCAATATTAGAATAATATCCTAAATAAACTAAATCAATAGCGTAATAAAATTTACAGGTACGTTTTCTTCATTACGAAAATAAGAGTAAGAAGTTGCGGCTGCTTTTCTCGCGCGACGAGTTAACTCGTCGTTCGCGGCTAAGCGAAGGTTAATTATACCCGTTGCAACGTAACAACATGTCGAAACTCGACCGATCTGTCGCGACGCGGCGCGACGTTTCGCAACGGCTCGCTCGACGAAGCCTCTCGACATAGCGTGAAACTCCTCCGGCCGGGCGCAAATGTCAGAAGCCAGGCGATCTCGCGTCGATTACGTTCGACGAGAGGAAGACGACGACGACGCGGTGGCCAGAGAGACTTCGCGTGGAAGAATTCCGCCCGGCGCGGTCAGCGACTGCGCGCGATCGCGTGTGGTAACCCTCCTCGCGAGCGAACGCGGTCCTATGTTTGTGCGTGTGTGTGTATGTATGCGCGCGCGCGCGCGCGCACGTGTTACACACACAAATGCTGCTATTAATCTCGCGCGGCGATACGTCATTCCCGAAGCACCGCCTAACCGACTCTTATCGAATTCGAGCCACCCAGTGGCTCATTATGCATTCGAGAAGCCGCGGCCGGCGGAACGCATCGGTGTATACGGGAGGCGTCGCCGCGGCCGGATGATAAATAGGGACACGGTCGACCGAACGTTCTTTTTTTTTTTTTTTTCGTCGCCCCAACGCGACGATACGGCCGTACGTCGACGAGGAAACTCGACAATTTCTTTCGAGTCGACTGCCGTCCACACGTAGAGCAGTGTCCAGTTACGCGTCCACAATTGGGGAGACCGAAGGGCGGACATTTACGCAGAGGGAGAGGTGTATTCTACAAATTGGCATTGGCGAAAGAAAGAGTGGGGATGAGCGTCGGCTGTTGTACCGATACCAGGCACGTGCGGCGAATTCTAGTATTGTTTACTACACTGGAATATACTGTACTATACTAATTGTTTACCATACTAGAATATTACTATACTATGCTAGAATATATTGTATGGTACAGTATATGATATATCACATTATTCGAGTGTAATGAAATTTGACATTCGTAACACTTTATTCAAATTGAATATTAATTTAAACTATGCTAAATTTAATACGTACATACTTTTTAACTGACTAAAGCAATAATTGTCGAACGATTATAATTAATCTAAATTTCACGAAAATTTATTGAAGTTCCTATAAAAGTAGTTGTCAATAATTGAATGAAAATCTTGACTAAAGGTCATTAAATTAACAATACACATAGTACGATTCTATAATCGTATTAATACATGTAAATTGGATATGTTTTTGTTATTTGACATAAAATTTGATGCAACTTTGATTAATATGTGTCCGAAATATCGGTGTCACATATCGCTTTGTTTTTGTTCCACGTTTCACGCGGCCGCATGGTAAGGTAATACAGAGTGGGGATAGTCCCAATTCCAAGAATTGGTGGAGATGGACGCGTAACTGAGGAAGAGCCGCGGACACTTAACTGGAGGCTACTACTGCAGTTCGTACTTGTAGTACTTTCGTGCCGCAAAGTCTCTCTGTACGAGGAGCTGTCTGTAACAGGTTCATTTTCAATGCAATTAGACCCCCGGCTGGCCGCCGGTCGCCGATCCACGTCGAGACGCGACGTTGGCCGCGCTTAAAGGAAAACTAGTTTGCCGGGCGATCGATAGCGCGACCGGTGTCTATAGATTTCCAAGAGAGTGGGTCTCGCCGTGTTTCGAACCCATCGTGATTATACGCTCGTCGTTCGTACGTTCGTTGGACCGTTGCTCCGGTTTCTTTCCTCCCCGTCCCCCGAAGGCAGCTGACGCCACGGCTGATGCGCCGCGCACACCACGCTGCGTTTTCAATCCGCCGAAAATACGCGACGTTTCTTTTGAAACGCGGCGAGCCTCGGATCGTTCAGCGAGCGGGCAACCACACCGCTATCGCCGCTTACCGACCTAACAGAGGCGCGCACACGGTGTTGGAAGCTAGGAAGACAGAAACAGAGAGAGAGTAAGAGAGAGAAAGAGACGAACAGACGGAACAAGGAGGTAGGTAGACAAAGAAAACGGCCAGAGACGCTGACAAGAAGACGCACCGTCGGGGTTGGGGGAGCTGGACAAGAAAGAGCGAGACAGAGACAGAGAGACAGAGTGAGACGAGAGAACCATCCTCTTTAGAAGACCCTTAACCCTGCGGGTGACGGTCGAACGGTCGGTCGGTCGGTCGGTCGGACGAGCGAACGTCAGTCAGACAAAAGGGATCGGCCGGGAGCCCGGGTGGATAGCGAGGGCACCGAAGGGACGAGGGGGGAACGGAGAGCGAGAGGATAACAGTGGCGCGAGACGCGAACCGAAGGGGACGAGCGCAACGCGGCGTGGTGCGGCGTAGCGTAGCGTGGCGTGGCGCGGCGCGGCGCGGCGCGGCGCGGCGCGGCGCGGAGCGGAGCGGAGCAGTGCGGCTCTCGGCTCGGCTCGGTTCTCTCGGAGGGTGGGACGCGAGCGTGAGCGCGCGGGCAGGGGGAGAGGGAGAGGCTGGCAGGCCTGGCAGCAGGAAGCTCGCGATGCGTGACTCACCGAACCGACCGAATGGCATAGAACCCGCGGGTTCGCGTTCGCGCTCGTATCCCCCGTCCCTTTCTTTTCCACCCGTTTCGCCTCGAATCCTCTCTCTCCTCTTCTTCTTTCTTTCTTTCTTTTTTTTTCTTTTTTCTCCTCCTCCCCCCCTCCCCCCCCCCCCCCCCCGGGCCGTATCGTACCGTTTCTGTTCCCTGTTTCTGTTTCGCGCTGTCTCTGTCCTTGCCACGGCGATTCACGGAGAGAGGCCCGGTCGTCCTCTACCCGATCCCCCCTCCCCCACCCTAAAGTTCGCCTCGGTCACCCTCCTTCTTCTCTCCCTGGAAAGTGGCAGCGAGGGAGAAGAAGCCCCCTCGGCTCTCTCTCTGTGTTGTTCCCCTTTCTCCCGACCCCTCCACGGAAACCCCCCTTTCCTCCCCCTCCTCCTCACCCCCGTGGGTCGCATGGCCCCGTGTCTCCCGGTCGTTCAGCACACGGCTCTGGTTCCTGCCTAGCCCCTAGTACCCGCGTCACGCGGAGCCTTTGTCCTCTGCCATCACCTCGCGTTATTTCACACTCTCTCGCGCGCGCTCGCGCTCGCGCTCAGGCTCACGTTCGCCGCGTCGCTCGCTCGCTGGTTCCTATGTATGTATGTGTGCATGCGTTTCTCTGTGCACACGCGGTGGACCGCGGCGAGTCCACGAGCGAATCTCGCGCGTGAGAACGCGTCCGTATATGTGCGTGTGTACGTGTACGTCCACCTCGGTCGCGTATCACTTGCCGTCGTTATATCCGTCGTTACTTTATCACGTCCGAACGATCCGTCGGGCGATCGATCGAAACGACAAATCGAGAGCCACGGCGCGTACCCTCTTACGACGGACGTGCAGACTAGACGCGCCGTGCCCCCGTGTCGCCTATGTTCGTGCGCGTACGCGATTACGCGTACTTACGTGCACGCGTGCGTCCAACCGTGCGTGGCCGCTTATCCGCGATCGTGTATATGTACGTGGTGCTTATGCGTGTGCGTGTGTATGTGTTTCGTCTCGTCTCGTCTCGTCTGGTCTCGTCTCGTCTCGTTTCGTTTCGTCGAGTGTGTACGTACGTACAATCGGAGGGGGTAGCCCCTGTCGCTAACCGCGTCCGAGCGAGGAATTAGCGAGTCGTGCGGCGAAGGAGACTACCGTAAAGTCGTGGCTCGTTATGTGTTGCCCGACAGAGCCGGCTGTGCCTGCCTAGCCTACTCCACCTATGTATGTATGTACATCGTAGGCGCGCTTAGCCTCCGGTACGGATGTATATACGGGCATAGACGGGCACACGAGGCGATGGGCCAGGAATGGGTTCGAGGTTAATGCGCTCACCGGGGTCTAATGACCAAGGACCGACTTTAGGGTGGGCCGGGCCGATGCTCTGACGCTTCTGACTGAATTTGCGGTGAAACGGCTCGCTTTACGTAATTGCTAATTAGTAATTGGTGGCGCGCCGCCGCGCGCACCGTCCACCCTACGAGTGGAGGTGTACAACTTTTCACGTGTCCGCCGATATATCTTTCTTCTTACCTCGTGAATTATCTTACTTACTCTTCCTTAATCTTCTTCTTTCCATTTCTTTTCAACCTCTTGCAATTAGCCGCGATGATGACGATTGTGTACTGGTCAAAAACTGCTTGCTGTAAAATTGAATTAAATTGAAATGACGCTAGTTTTACAACAATCAATAACTTTATAGCAAGAAAATATTTGGAAACGATGTAAAAAGAACTAACCTCGATATGACTAACATTTACAAATACATCTGCTACATCAAATGATAACATTTACAAATGTTTCATCTGCCACGAAAAGTTTCGTTCAAGTAATAAATAGCAATTACTTTTCTCGCGCGACGAGTATACTCTACGTTGTTTCAGTCATGACGATACACGCATATTACATAAATATATCGCACCACTCACGGCTGACAACAAAAGAGGTTAAATCGAACTCGGAAATGTACGAATCTTCCTTATCGACGCGTACGACTTTTTACACGTTTGTCGATGAATCGTCTCTGCGAGGGAACAATGGCTCGGAATCGAGAGAAAAGTCTGGTCCGATGGTATATTATGTCGATTGAAATTGGCCGTAACAGGCTCTATTAGAGGCGGACAAATAGATCCAGCCTTAACGTATTAATTGACGTTAATTAAGACCGGGAGGACATTAATAGCGCGCGGTTGTCTTTATCGGCGCGGCGTGTTCACGACTCGTGGATNCTCTCTCTCTCTCTCTCTCTCTCTCTCTCTCTCTCTCTCTCTCTCTCTCTCTCTCTCTCTCTCTCTCTCTCTCTCTCTGTGTTGCCGATTTCCGATTCACGGTTACTCGATTTACAATAAAGATCTCACGCTTCGCGGACGTTAACCCCTGTCCCTTCCTACGCCCTTCCCGTGGCAGCGCCCTTTCGCCGTGCAATTCACCCAGAAACCGTTGTCCGTTGTGTACAACTAAAATTCGACCGGCCGGTAAGCTGCTTAAGCGCTGAGTAATCGAACAAGCACGCGGCTAATTCCGTCCCGCGGAACATTAACGTGCAACATTAACGCGCGGAATTAAAGTTGTTGAACGTCAGGGCCCTTTCGTCATTGAAATTCGCCGAAATTTCTCTTCCGAGACGTTTGAGGTTAGGATTGGGCAAATGGGAGGCGAATTTTTCCCATAGAGAAAAACAAGAGCTACATGTGTCGAACCACGTGTTCGAACACCTTTTGCCAACTTCGTAATTGCAAAATAAAGGTTCTTACCTTTTCTCGGCGAAGAAGGTTCGTAAAGTTTAGCGAACCAATTCTAACACTGGCGTAGTTTGAAGTCGGATAATTTTTTTCCATTTTGAAATCGAGACTAGACGAACAATCGTTAACGGGATCGTTCTTTTTCTAAGGACAAACAAGCTTGAACAATCGGATATCAGAGTACATGCACAATGATATCCGGTTTAACGTGAAGTTAATTGCATTTTAAGATGTACATGTACGTCCATCTGGTAGAAGAAGACGCAATTACTTTTTGGCCAATCTAATATATGTCATTATGTACACTATATCAAATGTTGTGCTTTGATTTTCAAAAAAATTCAATAAACGTACAGTAAAAATTAATTGTTTCTTTAATCAATAATTCGATCACCATGAATTTCGATAATTTTCGTTCACGATTGGTGAATATAATTTTGAACTTACAGTCTGTTCATATTTCGATCGATGATCCGAACCTCTACCACTCTGTCGGTTTGTACCACCCGTGCTGAAACACCCTGTACGTATATTTACACGTATATGGAACATATCACACGTAAATCTAATCGAATAAAAGTCTCGAAATTCGTGATATCTTCATGGACGCGCCAGTATTTGTCGTGCCGGGCGCTATATACCATTTCGACGAGTATACACGAGTATGCAACGCTAAATTCCCCGCTTACATAAACATGAGGTTAGGTTGCAAAGCAGCCCTTGGCTGTACCTGGCCTTTGCCTATTATCGTTACTCTCCAACTATCTTCAAACAGCTTCTCATCTACTACTTGGTAAAAACTACCTAATGATAGCAACGATACGTATAGTAATAACAACAATCCCATTCAGAATACTTTGCTACGATTACACTATATATATATATATATATATATATATATACGACGAATCACGAGAATTAATACTGTTTCGAACGCGTCACGTATGCCTCGCTTTAACTGTCAACACTTTTGGGTAGGGTTTCCACGCAACTGCGGTATCCCTTACGCCGCTATATACATATCCAGGACGATATGTTTATTTAAGATGTTACAAGTAACGTTTACATTGGTCGACATCTCAGAGTTGAACAATTTTTGAGCCAAAAATTGAGACGAAATGGATATGTATGCGGATTGACGTGGATTTTGACAATGACGAAACAACAAATAGCGAAGGCGCATACGAAAGCGACCTAACCTAACTTTTAGTTTCGAAAATTAATAAAAATACGTGTTACTCGCGAAAGAGTACGTTCGTTATAAACATAATTATCCATATATCGATAGTTTTTAATCGCTGTGTTTCACGCCGTTTAGAGTAAATTTCTAGCCAAGTCAGCGTTATAGAAAAAAAAAAAAAAAAAAGTATCAAGAGTGTGACGAGGCAGGCTACGATCGATTCGGCCTCGAACCGGCACCGACCGTGCGAGAAACTCGCGTCCTTTGCAAACGTGTCTATAAGGACACGTTTGCCAACCCGATACGCGAACGAAAACGTCTAAGGCCGTGGCGTGACGCCGCGATCTCTCGCGCTTGCGAAACACGCGCGCTAAAAGCGCGCCGCGATCGGTTTGCACGGCGTTACGCGGCTGACGTAATTGCCGCGCCGCCAGGCAGCGAGAGCGTTAACACACACGAGGCTTGGCTCTCGGGGCTTCTGGTCGGGAAAATCCTCGGGTATCAGCGCCGGAAGCGGCTCGAAACGACTCGAAATCGCCGGATGGATCGCGCGAGAGCGACGCACCACTACTCGGCGATGGACACACGTACGCGTTTACGAGCGCTCGCACGTGTGTATGTGTGTGTGTAAGTGAACGACGAACGCGACGGCGCGACGCGACGTTCCTTCGAGGCGAACGCGTTTCTGTGCCGCGATCTCGCTGCCAGGGCCAAGCACCCCGCTCTCGCCTTGCCAGCCGGCTCGCTCGCTCGCTCGCCACCGCTTTTAGGATCGAACTTCCGACGCTCTCGCTCGACACCGCGCCAAACGTTCCTAGAGAAACGTTCCTCTACTGATTTAGATCGCGAGGGGACCCCGAGAGCCGTGGATTATCGAAGCCTGCCTGCCTCTTTCTTTCTCTCTCTCTCTCTGTTTTTAGTTTTATCACGCTCTCTTCTCTTTGTTTCGTTCGGTAAAATCGACTCGTTTTAGCCCTTTGCACTCGACTGTCCCTCCCCATAAGGAGATATACTTAAATTTAGCTAACAGCCGGGATTATAACATTTTTTATAATTGCTTTGTAATTGTAATGAACATAGGTATGATGTACCATACTGATATATGTACTACAATATACTAATATATCATATGTACTACAATATTCTATACTATAATATACTAACGTACTATACTATACTATATAATATACTATAATATATTCTACAATATACTATACTATACTATAATATACTAACATACTATATATGTTACTATACTATAATATATACTATGCTATAATATACTAATATACTGTACTATAATATACTAACATACTATAATATATACTATACTATAATATACTAACATACATAATATATACTATACTATAATATACTAACATAATATATATGCTACAATATACTATACTATAATATACTAATATACTATATATAGTACAATATACTATACTATAATATATTAATATGCAAATATACTGTATAATAATATGATATAATATAACAACGTAAGAGGAATGATAAAATTTCAAAAGAAGAAATTCTTAAGATAATACAGACAGTCGTGAGTCAATTGACTATCATTATCATCGAATACACTCGTTAAATCATTATTCGAATAATTCAGAACAATTCGCGCAAACTAAACTTCTTATTGCTTCTAAACGAAAGTTTATAAAATGGTGGAAGAAATTTGTCAGAAAATAAAAATGATGTATCACTATATTTGGTACTATACTATACTATATTGTAATATATTATATTACATTGAAATCGTGTATCATTAACTTCTATACACTATACTTGGTACTATACTACACCATACTGCTTTAAAGTCACACACCAAAGAAATGTAATCGACAAAATTTTTTCATGCTGAATTTAAACAGGATGATCAAGTCCCGCGTTACATGAAGTGATACTTCACTCGCTATTTCGCAAATGATACAAAAAATGTTTCCAAAGGCAAAGAGTTAGCATTTCGAGATTGAAACGTACGTTTCAGGTAACAATGGTGATTGACGACATCGATTAGCATATGTAACTGTTGTTCTTGATTAAAGTCGGACAGTTTGCGCGACTTTTCATCGGTGTTACGCGATGTGTTATACGGCGCTAGTCGGTAACGTAATCGACGAACAATGATTCGTACCTGTTACATGTGCCATGGTCACCTAACAAGCCACCATAAACGTAAGCCGGTAAAAATGACTCGCAGAGATCGTTCGTTTCGATCTTTCTATTGTTCACGTGTACGAGGAGCACGTAGATAAAGGAAGATTTCGTAGTTGGAGAAGAAAAGTCGCACTTGTTGCATTTTCTGGCCAATAACAGCCTGTATAATGCACGGTCCGCGCTTTCTTCTTCTTACGGCCGGTGAAAAGAGTTTCGCAACTCCTATAAAAATATTTATTTTAGGGCCGTTTTCTCCTCCTTGTTGCTTTTATTCCTCGTAGGCGATTGATCTTGACATAAACGAAGTTCATAGTCGCACTTTCTCGTCGTGTTTAACATATCCAGTGAATTTGTCACAAAATTCCAATGTGTGCCCCAGAGATACCTAAAATTATATACTCTTTAGCTTTATATTGTAATTATACATTATACATTTTTATATCACAATTATTAAAATAATACTTTATATAATTATATTTATTATACATTTATAATTATATCTATTTTATAGCTGAATGCTCGAAATTTATTCATTCGTATGTGCCGATGTAACAAAAAAAAAAAAAAAAAAAAAAAAAAGAAGCTAACTCTAATCGCGCGTGTAAAAATAACGAAGACGTTGAAGCACGAAGCAGCAATTCCGTGCGTGTTCAGAAATTATGTATTAACATATATACAACATAAAGTTATATATTTTATACGTGAAATCAAATTGTACGTATTTCACACGTTTATCTGTAAATTATATATCTGTATACGAAAAAAAAAAACGTACGAAAGTGACGTTCAAAGTAGAAACTTCGTGAAGCAGGTTCGCAAATCTGGTCGCTCGAGGTGTTAACCAAACCTCCTCAAGCTGTTCGTGAAATTATGACCTTTAACGTCCTTGCCGTATCTCTCTCCCACCCGCGCGCGCCCGGTGGTATATACCGGTGGCCACGTAGAACACGAGCCAGAAACGACTCGAGCCGAAACTATTCGCGAAGGAAAAAAAAACGACGAAGAAAAAAAAAAAAAAAAAAAAAGAAACGCGGAGAGATCGTGGCCGCGGAGGTCGCGAAGTTGTAGTCGGACCCGGTTAGAGCGGCGCGCGATGGCCGTGATAGTCACGGTGTTCGGAAGTGGCAATCGTATTAATTCGATTCGTCCCCG